AGAAAAATTATTTATTTGTCCTAACTAATAAATTGGTTGCCAAAAGCAAGAAAACAATGCACCTGTAATTCCTAATAATGCATTCAATCCATAATAAACCTATAATTTTAAAGCATCATCCATGATGTGAATGACACAATGATTCATCACATCCCTCTAATCTTTGAAATATTTGATAGAAAACAATGCATAATTATCTATTAATAACATTTCTATTCACATTCATCACAGATCAGCTGCATGCCTGCATCACCATCTTCTTTGCCATCTTGTAAACACAAACTAGAAGTACTCAAGTGCTAAATATTGATACAATATAAAATAAACTTTCTATATATACATATGAGAAGGTACCATAGAAACATTGCAAAATCCAAATTCAAGATACACCTTGACTAAAATACAAATAGTCCAAAAAACTACTAGGGTGTGAATAAGCTAGATATGTTTCTAAGCAACTGCAACTTCCTCCTGATAAGAGTCCGTTTGTGCTTTACTACAAGATTCGAGAGTATCCCATGCTGATTCGATGACAACCTGCCCATTGACATAGTGCTGGCGGCAGACAGGCATATAGACATCAGAACCACCAATCAGCGCAGTCTTTGTCTCATTAGTCTTCCTTAAGGTAAAGAAAGCCCGCTTGCCGGAATCAGCAAGGGGTATTATGTGAAGCACTGAGCCAAAGGTCCTTCTGCAATAAACATTTTTATTTCACATTATAAAAAATAAAAAATCAAACATGGCAAAAAAAAAAAAAAAATTAATGCAGCATCAAATTTGAGTAGCAGACAAGGAACTCTAAACAGATGTAAGGTTACCTCAAGTAATCCCCATCCAGGCCAGCAACTATACAATTTTCCATCACAATCAGCAACCTTGCAGCAGAAATCATAAAGGTCATCAAAGAATTGAGCTTCATCAATGCCAATCACATCCAGCTGTCAGCACATACCACAAATTAGAAGATGAAAAAATCATTGCAAATACTGAACTTAGAACATAATTCATTAAATCCATAATAAACCTATAATTTTAAAGCATCATTCAAATCAACTGAATCATTAACATCAAAGTTCTGATGGCAACAAATCGACCAGAACACAGTTTACAATCGAACTTCAGCATCTAAAAAAAAATAAAATAAAAAAGTGCAGCTTGAATCATCACTTGTCTAGACACAGTTTACATTGATGTTGTGAAAACAAGATGAAGAATGGTTAATTTGTAAGTAGATCTTACATTTTATTCTTTTAAACTATCACAATATTATTAGGAAATACATGAAAATTCTTAGTTATTCAGTCCTTAGGCAGACAAGAAAAAGAAACTACAATTAGATATACTTTAGGGTTTGCCTCTCATTAATAGTTTATTCAAAACCAATCTGATAAATTCCCCCCCCCTAAATCAATACACGGAATTTCATCACATTGTAAACAAACCAAACCAACCAACCAAACCAAGCCTTAAGTCCATCAATTTCATCATATTTAGATTTAGTTATCATCTGCAAATACAAAATAGAATAACAAAAAGTCAAAGCACTACAAATTTTGGTGGTGAATGGCCTATTCATTCAACAATATTAGTAGGACATAAACAATACAATAAGCATTTGCACAGAAGCAAAGCAAAAGACAAGCTGATGGCCACAAATTTTCCAGAGCAGGAAAAGTTGCAGAGCAAAAGAAATTGAAACATAATTTTAAACCACAAAGAAGAAAAGTTTTCAAGCAACCCAACTTCAGCTTCATGCTCTCCGCATTATCACCATTGCACCAAGCAATAGTCCCACTTTCCACATAAAAGTGCAGGTTGAAAATCATAAAGCAGAGGGGGTACAGAAACAATATATATCAGTTTTATATACAGTTTTATCAGTTGCGACATGAAAAATGCCCATGGACTGAAATTCCTGTACAACCACGCATTGTAATGCCATCCAAGAGGAACCACAAGAAAAACAAACAATAGAACTTGCATTTCAAATATGTGATGGAAAACTAAAACTGTGTTGATCTTGCATAAAAGCCCACAGCAAAAATGCCAACAGCTATATTCTCATAACATTTTAAGTATTTGTACACCAACATGTATTGCAAGTACTAGAGGAACTAATTCCAAAATTTGATAGGTGCCTTTCCAGAATTTGGCATGTCCGCTCGAGCGGGGAAAGCGCCGCTCGAGCGTAAAATGCGAGCTCCTAGAACTTTTGCAGACATTGATGTCCGCTCGAGCGAGGATATTCACGCTCGAGCGGGAAGCCATGTAGTGAGACTTTCAGCTCGAGCGTCCGAATTAATGCTCGAGCGTAAAAATAAGGCAACCAGTACTTTTGCAGACCATGAGGGTTCGCTCGAGCGGGGGAACCCACGCTCGAGCGGGGACCCCTGTTTCAGAAATTTTATTAAAGTGTTCTATGTTTCATTTTCCGTTCTCTTTCACTTCTAAGTACTCTTAGGCATGCATTGATCATTATGAATGAATTAAAAAAATAATAAGGAAGAAGCCTAAGAGGGATGTATGAATTAAGAACAGACTAAATTGATTGTGACCCATATGCGTTATGTAATGTGTAGGGTCGAGCTCCAGGGTGAATCCACCGGCAGATCACTGTGAGTAATATCTTAGTAAAGATATTTTGAAGTATGTTAATTGTCCAATTGCTTATCATAAGTCTTATAAGTCTGTTAATTTGAATTGTAGACAAATGTTTATTATGCCAGATGGTTGGGCCAAAGGCCGTCAGATACAATTGATTGGGCCGAAGGCCATTTGACATGAATGAATGAATGGGCCAATGAATGGGCCAGAGGCCGTTGGATATGAATGAATGGGCCAATGAATGGGCCAGAGGCCGTTGGATATGAATGAATGGGCCAATGAATGGGCCAGAGGCCGTTGGATATGAATGAATGGGCCAATGAATGGGCTAGAGGCCGTTGGATATGAATGAATGGGCCAGATGCCGTTGGATATGAATGAATGGGCCAATGAATGGGCTAGAGGCCATTGGATATGAATGAATGGGCCAACGAATGGGCCAGAGGCCACTCGATATGAATGATTGGGCCAAAGGCCGTTTGATATACAGGAATGAATTAGGCTCGAGGCCGTTCGTTTAAGAACAAAGTGGGCCAGAGGCCGTTTGATATGTTTAGGGTCGAATCGCCTAATGTACTGAATAATGCATGAAGTAGAATACTAAATGGGCTCAAGGCCATTTGATATATGTGAATCTCATTCGTGTACTTTCTTTGTTTGATATTATTCACTGGGCTTTCGCTCACGCTCATTCATGTGTATGTAGGTGAGCCAAGGGATGTCCAAACCCAGCCTCGGGGAAATATGTGAGAAATAGTCAAGGTTTTGAGGAGTCAGCCCAACGTCTCACGCACGAGACTTGTTTTCGCCTCTTTTGTTTTTTTGTTATAGTTTTGTTATGTTGGCGACAACATTGGATTACTTTTGTACATAAACTTTGGGTTTGACTGACTTAGACTTAAATGATCCTGTATGTACAGTTTATATGTTAACTTCCCTTTGATGTGAGTTATTAACGAATACTTACGTGAAATGTTATGATATGCATATAAGCACAGCCCTTTGGACAAAGTTTTAAATTTGCTTCCGTTTGGCCCCTTTACTCTGATGAGTTATGTCTTATATGGTTTGAGGCCGTAGGTAATCTCTTGATTACTGGCCGGTTATGTCCTTAACCCATAGGGGCAGGTTCAGGTCATGACAATCAATTTGGTGCAAAGCTCTATTTTTGTGTTCTGAGGTGAACCAATGCAGACAGAGTGTCCTCCAGCTCTGTTTGTCCCTTTTCTTCCTTCTTTGTCATGGGAAAGCCTTGAGAGAAGGTTGAAATTGATTCCAAAGCCATTAATGAACAAAATGATTGCTTGATGGTCTCAGATGCAATTTTGGACAAAAGTTAATAAAATGCAAAGAATAAGACCACCCTTTCCTCTTATCATAGTATGAACGCAAAGAGGAAGGTTATAACACTTCAAGAATCATCAAAATGCGATGGATTAGCATGTGACAACTCTTGACACAAGGAACTTGGCATAACGTCCGGCCAAGTTGAAGCAATTTAAACCACTTTCTTTATGTGTGTTGATCCAAGTTTTAAGCCAATTTTATTAAGCCTTGCCATTCTTTAGTTCATTTGTCCATGGTGATGTTAAAGTCCTCTAAACAAGAAGTAATGTCAAACGAGAGGTGCTTCTAAAGCATGAGAGAAAGACTATACTGTTGGCAATGAATCTCCAAAAAGATTAAGCCATTAGGTAAGAGTCTTTCTTACATGTCTTGAACAACCTCAATCTGTTGAAATCATTCTCAAGAATGAAAGAGAGAGGGATGGTGGATTGATTGTTAAAATTAGACTCTTAAACATGGAAATGAGTAAAGGAATGCTTAGAACAACATGCAACAAGTTATGTATGCTAACTTATAAGACAACAAATGAACTAAACAAAGCATGAATCAATTTAAAAGGCTTGGACAGCCCTAGAACAACCCTTAACATATGAAAAAATAGAGGCTAAACATGCATGAAAGGAGCTTAAAAAAGCTAAACAATAAAGAGAAGAATGAAGGCTAGTAAGCAAGAATAAGCACCCCTCCTCTTTTGAAACTTCAAAACATGATTTGTGGCTCTTTGAAAACTCTAAAAATCAGTGTAGATATCAAAGAAAAAGAGTGGAGAATGAAGGGTTTGAGCTATAGGTAAAGGTGTAGAAAGAGCAAGATCTCTTTACCCTTTTGGTAGCTCTTCAAACCCAACCTTGAATACTTCAAATAGATTCAAAGCAAAGAAAAAGAGTAAGAATCATGAAGCAAATGAAAAAAAATGAAAGTAAGAGAGAAGAAAACAAGCTTATACCTTTCAAGGGGTAAGCTTGTTGTTTGTGATCCAAACTTGGTTTCAACCCACCCTCAAGCTTGAATTATGCTTCTCCAGGATCAACCAAGGCTCTAAGGTGGTGAGAAAATGTTGTATATGGTGTATGGAGATAACACAAGGAAGCTAGGTTAGTTCAAAGGTTGCTTGCAATGGAAGAATGAGGAGGGAAGAGCTCTCAAGGTGTATATAGGCTTTCTAAATTTTGTTCAACCCTCAAAACAATAACACAGCTTCATTTTTATAGAATTTGAGAGGTGATAAATATCTTCAAAAATAGACAACTGGTGGGCTCTCACCCAAAACAGTGTTTTTCGCCACCTAAGGCCGGCCATCACTGATGCACGGCCGGGCTTTGATGTCCTCTCTGTTTTTTGGTTCAAACTCAGCTCAGGGTGGAAAACGGTCCAAAAATGAAACTCACAAGTTTAAACAAGGTAAATGTTGAAGATTTGATATTATTTCGAGAACCTGATTGAATTCGAATTGCTGTGAACTCAAAGCACACAATTCAACTTTCATCATCGTGTGTATCGTACCAAGCGCCTAAGTCTTGTGGGCGGTCAAAAATGGGGTGTCTACACCATATATTCATCAGAACTAAATGCGTAAGGACGATGACAGCCGATCTTGCGTCTCTTTGTTTATTAACTCGTCCTTGTCTTTTTTATTTTTTTTTTTATTTTTAAAATTTTGTTTGTACTACTAACCTACTATTGTCAAGGTTGTTTTTATTTTTACCAGAACAAAATGTTGAGTCTTGAAGGGCACCCCTATGGCAATGAGAAGTTATTGGTTAGTTTTGGAGTATTGCTCTATACTATTTATTGATGGACAAGTGTTTCACTGTCTCTTAAAATGAGATAGAAAGGTGATGGGCCTCACTTATTCAAAAATAACAATTTTTTAATAAAATATTGAGTCTTGTAGATTCTAATAAATATTGCACACTCACTCAGTCTTGGGCTTAGAAGGCACCCCAAGGGAAGGGGTCAGGGATACCTTGTTCGAATTTTTGGATATTTTGATAAGTTTTTACTATCTTTGTGTTATTTTAATTTCTATGTTTATAAATAGACGAATATTTTTTGTTTTTTGAATTATTATAAAGAGTTATAATTACTTATTAATTATTGATTAGAAAGAGTCATTTCCCCAGCACAAAAATACCACAAATTTGATTTTGACGAAACTTTAGGTAGCTGCTGGCAGCAGCAACCATTATAAGTTATTAGTAAAATGAAAAGAAAATAAAAGAAAAAGATTGCTAGCCTTTCTTTTGGTTGGTAGTGTATGGAAGTGTGTGGAAAACTGAAATGAAGTCCGCAAGTTTACTCAAGCCAAAAGGTAAGAGATTTCTTACTTTTAAGTGAGTTCTTGATGAAATTTTTTACGGTGTTTTGTATTTTTTTTTTTATTTTTTTTTTCAAAGTGTTGAGGACTTACAAATGCTTGCTCACTTGGGTGACACTTACCATGGGTTTGAACTTTATCAGTATGGTTGTTTATATCACTGCTGGAAATTAAGCTTTTAGTGGCGTTTAAAAAACGCCGCTATAGCTATCAAAAACGCCGCTAATTGTTTTTGTGACGTTTAGTACCAAACGCCGAAGATGCGGCCGTCGCTGTAACTTTATGACGCTTTAAAAGCGTCGCTATATCAGTATAAAAAACGCCGCTAAATGTGCTTCAGAATGATGCAATGACGTCACTCCACATTTAGCGACGTTTTAAAAATGCCGTGATAGATCATTTTTATTTTAAAAATGTAACCGTTAGTATTCTACAGTGGCGTTTAAAAACGCCGTTATAACTTCATTTTTTTTAAAAAAAAAAATAATAAATTGTGCTAATTCTGTGAGATTTAACCCCAAAAAAATCCCTTTTATAAAGATGAAAAATATACAATATATTGACTAAATTTAGGTAAACATAATACTATATCAATTCATGCTTCTCAATACGCAAAAATATTTCAATTCCAAGATGAAATAAAGTTAACTTAGTACCTAGTGGTAAGTTGAAAGTTATTACAAAACAAATCGGCACAAAAGATGCAATTCAAACAAATTATACATACAAGTACTATGAAAGCATCTACTAAGAAACAAAAATTCCCGGGTTCTATAAGGAAGATGATCGTCCTTTGTTCACATCTCAGCATGGTCGACACATCTTGTGCTGTCACTTACCAAGCATTCACCAAAATAGGTGTTAACAAGGACAAATTTACCACACAACCAGTAAGTACAGAGAATACAAATGTAGTTGCCTAAACAATCACAGTAGTTATCAACAAGAAGTTAATAATCTAAAATGAGATCAAGACACTAACCTTAACAAAGAAGGCTGCGGAACTGTGACTTAACCCAACCCACCATGTGGTCTCTGTTACCTATGAAATACACATAAAAGAATTAGCCTTATTAAGTCTATGTTACCTATGAAATACATAAACACACACACACACACACATATATATGTAAAATTTAAAGTGCCCCTATCTAGCTATGATACAGGTTCCGGCATCAATTGAAACATGTCCAATATCAGTCTAACAAAATCATGTAGCCATCTAAAAGCACTAAAATAAATTTGAAACTCCAAATGTTCAATTTTTCTTTGTTTTCTCCAAATTCTACTTCCCTTTTGTGAGGAGGTGGGTTCCTTTTGTTTTTGACTCCATTTTTATGGGAAAAAAAAAAAGAGGAATCAACACTGAGATGATAAAATTACAAGCATTAAACACACCAATATCACTTCAACCACAAGTACAGGCAGATGGTTTGGACCAACAAAACAAGGAATATACTTGAGAAAATCTTAATGTGAATCCACATAACCCTTCCACTTTCCCAACTAATTTTTCCTTCTTTTTTTCTTCCAAGAGATGCTTGAACATGTAGAATTTTATGAGACATTAAAATTTGGTTGGAGAATGGTTTACAAGGTTTCAAATTCCTCTATAGATTAAAATCACCCAACAATAGTTTCTGAGCAAATAAAGCCTTATGCCTCTGCATGAATAAACATTGGGTACAAATGGAAAATCTACAGCATTGGTATAGAAGAGTAAGCATGCCCATCACTCGTTGTACATAAATAAATGTCTCAAAAACTTGAATGCCACTAGCAATTCATGAAGAAAAAAAATATGGAAGAATACTGTAGTAGGATGCGCAACAAGATTCAATGCTTACCCAATTTTCAGTATAAGGACAGGACAAGCAAGTGCAAGTTCTGTAATGAAAGCATTTTGTACAGTCACAATAGAAAATAAATACTCAAAGAATAATCAAACAATTTGAATCATGGCCAACTCTACCAAGCAACTGATGGGGAGCCATCTCCCCATCAGCTTGCCAAAAGCTTTTGATTTTTTTTTTTAATAGTAAATTTTTTACTTAATAATCAATTGACCCCAGCAAATCAGTGGTTGAATGATTGCTTGATAATATACATAGAAAATGATGTGTTTGACACTATTGACAATGAATTTATCATGCAAAAATTTCAAAAAATGGCACCTCATTGAATGTAATTGTAGAAGCTTACATATTTTTTTGATTTGTTAAGACACTAGTATTTTATTAAAAGTTTATTTTACTTGAAGTTGAAGAAGTTTAAATTATAATTAGTTTAATTTTTTTTTCTCATAAAAATTGGGGAACTTAAGTTTTTGGAGTGAACCCCATCCTTATAAAAACCTGGAGTCGCCACTGATTTGAATCCAATAAGATTTTAAAGTAAATTGATGCTTAGATTACATACACTAAAAGCAGACAAAGAATGCAAATTGATTATAAAGGTGTTATATCTGGTGAATCTAAGTAGCATCAAGCACATGCATGTTTGACTACTGATAAAGGTGCTGGTTACCAGCTTATGGTGTTAAACACTAAACAATATAATGGAAAATGACTGAAATTTCCTTTAGCAACATTGAGTGTTCAAAGGCTACTGAACAAGGTCAAAAAAATACAGCAACGAGAGAATCACCTGTTGTTCGAACTTTCTATTGTGAAGTTATTGGCAACTAAATTACTGCATATTACATCCCAAAAAATCTCGTTGTTAGTTTCAATAGTATAAAACCAACGCAGAAGATATGAAGAGGTACAAAATGCAATCTTAACAAATATTTTGCACTCAAAACTATTACAGGATGACAGGATGGTAAACCACAAAATCTGAAAATAAAAGCAGAGAGAAGGACCTTTTTTTTTTTTAGGTTTTCTAGACGGTCAAGCAAATACTCCAAGGCACTGTAGTCGTTAGTGTTTACATTGGCTACAGATCGAGCAATATCCACTAGCTTGTTTATCTGCCATTCCAAGGTACTTTTAGCAACTTAATTTACACAAGGAAAACTCGAACAAATTAAGAAACCAAATTATAAAATAACTACGGAGAGGGAAATAATCCATACTTCATAGAGAAAGAGCCAGACAACTTTTCCTCAACAAGATGAGCAGAATGAGTAGAACGTCCGCCATTGTGATCACCATCTGAGAAAACTAAATAATCAACTAAGTCCAAAAATGATCTCAAATCCAACAAATCCAACAAATGATCTCAAATCCAACAAATGTCATAATCACAAGCACATTTGGCATTTTCTCAAAACAAAAACACAACATATTAAGGAAGAATGACAAAGCAAACAAAAGAAGAAATTGAATAGGTTTTCCAAGAAAATAAATACCAAATCGAGAGAGACGGGAAGGAAGAGCTTGAGAGAGAGAGAAATCGATACCTCGCTGGAGCTTCGAAATCAAGAGAGAGAACTTCAAAATCGAAATCGCTTTGAGATGAAATCACTGAGACTGATCTCTGAATCTTTGAATCTCAAAGAAAAATCTCTGAGAGGGTTGACAGAGAGAGAGATCTAGAGAGAGAGAGACTGCTCTGGCGCTTCGAAATCGAAATCGCTCTGAGATGAAATCACTGAGACCGACTGAATCTCTGAATCTCAGAGATGAAACTCTGAGAGGGTTGATAGAGAGAGATCTAGGGAGAGAGAAAGAGAAACACCGCTCTGGAGCTTCGAAATTGAAATCGCTTTGAGAT